ACTTTCATACGAAATAAATCTCTCCCCAACGTTGATTCAATCTACTAATATGTATATATAGGAATGTCCTTGATTCAATTACAAAGATCTGGCAAATGGAACAGAATAAATTCAGGAACCATTAATTTTAAACATATTTTGATGTTTATGATACATTTCATATAAGAAATAAATTTTTTTAGAAAAATCGAGTATTTTGAACTTTAGATAAGACTTATTTTTGCCCTCACGGATATTCTAAAATTTTGCTTTTCAAAATATGTTTAAAGCTTCACAAGCGTTGCCTTTAATCCAAATTAATGAGGTTGTAGAAATGCTTATTCTCATCGATAATGTTTTTTGAACTATGCAAAAAATAAAACAGTAATTAAGCCTGAAATTGATACCAATTTAACCAAATCAAATTTAGCACTCCTATCTTTAGTCCATTGATTAATTTTTTAATTCAAATTAATTGTGTCACATGGCTAACTTTATTTCTGAATCTTGGGATGATTGCATTTCATGTTGAATTTTATGATTAATTTAAGTAATTGATTTGATTTAACTTAAGTCCACATATATTATTCTTTTATACTTTTCTTCCTATCAGCGCTATGCCTTCTATACACAGGAAATGCATCGTCTAACGGTAATGCAGACAAAGTTTACCGAGATACAGCGCGCTTTACTTATGCCGCCTACTAGTCCAGGCATTCAGAGCAATTTCTTAGCTCGACGTGGTGGTATGGGAGATGCACTCATCTTTCTTGGCTCTTCTAACTCCTCTACAGCCAACACTTTATCGGCTGGCTGTTTGGGAACGAGATCAAGCAGAGTGGCTCTTATGCATGCCAACCGGTCTACTACAAATACATTGGCAATTTCCACCCCCATCACCACTTCTGCTGCCGTAGCGGGAGAAGGCCCGGCTGTCTTACCACAGGGACCTTTGCCTCCATCTCACTTATGTGCCCTTATGGCCCCAACGGCTGTCGAAGCTCAGCATCGACTTGCAACTCGCCAGAGCTCTCCTCTCTCTCGTCCTGCCGCCTTAGTGTCATTTAGTGGAGCAACTGTATCCGGAGGAGCCACTTATAGTTCTGGTCTCACTGGAAGCACAACGGCTACTGTTGGGGGCGGGATGGGACCCTTATGTCCTTCCAATGTTGGAAGTATTTCGCGAGGAACACTTCCATGCAACCTTGGTCTCGGTTTCTCATCTCTGTCTATTTCTGGAGGAATGACTTCGTCGGAAACATCGTCACCTGCTGGCGTGACTTCTTCGGGTGAATATAATTTCCATAATTATTCTTGAATTGTTAGATTCAGCCTTTGAGTTTTCCCATCTTATATTTTAATATCTACTAAATAGTTTATTATAATTTTACCTAGTACCCATTCATCGTACCTCCTGAGTCTCTAATTTGATTTCTAACAGAACTTATTACGTTTCTCATTTCATCCATTTTTAATACCTCGATTTTTTCTTTACTCATAATTTTTCTCAATAAATTCTTGCTACCATGCTTAATGAATTTGTGATATTCATTTTTTGTCATCTTTTATTATACTCATTTTTTGCTCTACTCACAAGTGTCATTTATACTATGAAGATATCTGAGTTTCGAACAATATCTCACTGGATTGGTGTTGGAGTATATTTCACATGGTTTAAAGAGGAAAGTTAAAGAGATTCAAAATGGTCCTACTGAAGGCAAAGGTAAACTGTCTTGGAATTGGAATTAGTAGGATTGTACTAATAAGTCCTTAGCTCATCTTTCCCTGATCCAAATGAATCCTTCGAATTCAGGTCAGGCCGTTTTATGAATCCCTTCAGCTTTATTCTTCAAACGAAATTATAGATGTTCCAATTTCACTTTAGTCACAATCTGCCGTATCGTGATCTAACACATCCTCTCATTCCAAGATATCAGGATATTAGGCTATAAGTTATCTTATCCAAATACTTTAAAGTTTGAGAACAAAGTATCCCATCCATTTCTAGATACATGGCCTGAGGTTCTGTGGAATACCATATAACATATTATTTATGGGCTTATTATTGCGGACTAAATCAATGCATTCTCGATTACGACCACTCGAGATAAATTACCACATCTAAACTTTTGGCGATTATTTTTCGCTTTTAAGGAAACCCACACTTGCTTTTTAAGACATTTCTCTGAATAAAGCTTGTTGTATATACTGATATTTTGATTGCCTACGATGAATTTCAAAGGCCATGATTAGATAGATTTCATTCATCAACCTCATACTAGGTGCTTTGCCGCCCTCACTAAAATACCGTTTCTCACCTGCATTTACTGCATTTGCACTTTTATAACAGAATCACAACTTTTATTTATTGTTATAGATAGGATAGTTGCAATTAAGGACGTGTTTCTCAATTCATTTTCTTGTGTTTATTTTTGTTTCAAGAGATAAATTGGTCAGTTTCTGGATATGCGTACAATGGGTTATGGTCTTACCGAGACTTCTCATCGTGGGGTCAAATATATAATTTAGTATAGATCAGACCTCTGTTTAACGTTCTTCAATGACATTTTATGTTATTTATCCACTTCGTGGAGATTTCAGCTGGAAGGAGTTTACGGATATCACTACTATTATTTCGATACAATTAAATGTGTACCTGTTTTACTATTTATATAGCGCCGATTATTTGTGGCAAAAATAGATCTCGCTAGTGAATTGAAGGTATTTTAATCTACATGTGAATACCAATATAATGTGCATTTAGGTTTGGTCGCACTCTCCTTTAGCTGTATCGTGTTGGTCTAACCTCATTTTCGCAACCTACTTATGTTACTTAATCCGCACTTCCACTTAGCCATCTACTCAACCCGGCTTGCCAGCTGTTTTGTTTTTATTAAAAATTATGGCCTGCTTCGAGAATGATAAATCATGTTTAATATTATTGGCAAGGGCCGTTCTCAAATCCTGATTCTCGCGTCCGTAGCCTTTTTTAGGTCCTATTTGCCTTGTAAACCCTTTTATCCCACCTTATCCCATTTTCTCATTTTTTTAGAGACCTGTCTAGCCTTATTTCGGACTAATAGTGTCGAGATATACCCCTTCATTTGAGTACGTCGATATCATGTAACTCACTCATTCATTCACATTTTATCACTCCCATCTAATCCCTAAGTCTCGCTCATTTTGGCATTTATCTAGAGGTTAACTAAATACTTTTGCCAGGCATTTAAGGAACGACTCCTCACTGTAAACACAATACACAAACACATTTAACTCATCGACCGAGGACCTACTGATATTGTACCCCCAACCTCCGCTACATCACCTAAGTGGATTTGAAATAGATCTAGATTCTGAAATTAACATTCAAAGTGTTGGTTCAACCTTGTTTTCACAACTTGGTCTGAGCGTCATGGAGACCTTGTGGAACGTACCTAGTCCCGTGTCCTCTGCCATAGTATTCATGATTTCCAGCATTCTTCCATCGGTTGGGTACATTCAAAAACGTTTCTTCGGCATCGTCAGTGAGGGGCATCATGGTAAACACAGAGTTACAACTTATCAAAGGGACAAGTGAAGGCAATCTCCTTGACCTATTTTCTGTTAAACCGTTGTGACATCACTCTGCTCTCCCTTATTTTTTGTTCTACCTTCTAGTGCCGCATTCATTTATATTAACCCCATTTAATTTGGCCCATCCACTTATTCACACAAACTTTTGCTAATTTTCTCCAATATCGTCTAATAGTATATCGCTACAAGTTGGTTTAGTTAAGTGTAATCATCTCCACCACCGGTACTAGATGCCGTTTGCAGGGCTCCCGACCCACATTCTGCCCCCCAATTTAAAAAAATTTCCTACTTGTTTGTCATTTCACCATTGCTAAACGTCAAAATCACAGGAGTGGGTTGACCTCGTCGCAACTAGGTCTTGTGGTCAGGGCGACTATGTAGAACGCACCTAGTCCGAAGTCATCTACCATAGCAATTGTCATGATTCCCAGCATCTGACAGTGGACTTGGTACATTCTCAAACGTTTCGCCGGCATCATCAGTGAGTGCTGCCATCCTCCACTTGAGATGCCGCATGCGACCAGAGATAGGCGTCCACATTTTGCTCAGATAACATGTGTTTAAACAAGGAGACGACCAGTGTAGGGAAGGCCTGATATCGGCAAGCATGGAAATCAGAGCTTAAGCACTCCGCTTAGTGAAGCGGCAGTGTATGTGCTTATAGGGCCTTGAGAAAGAGCGTCAGGAGTGAAATGCACTCTGGAACTGGAACCGAGTGAAATCGATCAACCAGAAAGATAAGGAACGAATCTACGAGACTATGAAAGGATCCGGATTGAAGGCCCGAGTAGGATAAGCCCATCGAAAGAGAGGGGTCGGCGTAAATAGCAAGTGTGATGAGGCCACACTTGGTTTGCCACAAAAGGACACACATTTTGATGATCGGAATGTAAACAAGTGAGAAGTTGTGATAGGGCGGCAGTGGGATATGAGGGTAAATACTAGATAGATAGACGATGACAGAAAGAGAGGTGATAGTGTAACCGTTTCCGGCAGAACGGTTGTCGAGGGATTGACTTCACTTATCTCTTTG